GAGAAGGCAGGAAGGGAGAGGAAAACCGCAGGAATAGACATGGGGAATCCGGCGTGTAAAGGAAAGGGGGAGAGTGCTGACACATTGTGGAGACTGCAAACAATGTCACAAAACAATTTGTGTATAAATTTTTGAGTAGAAACTAATTTGCGCTGTAAACTTTCACCTAAAACACAATAAAATAAAAAAAAAGTTTTACGGGATTTATGTTACTTTTATGAAGCTGAGTGTCAAAATTAATGGAATATGAGGTTAATGGCATGTTATTAGCACTTTCCTTTAAATGATTTAGATCATATTTTTTATCAAATAGAGTTCACATAGCTATAAAATTACAATTTTAAGTACATTTTAATCATTTTCTATATAAAGTGTTTCATACTATAAAATTTTCACGTTATGCTAGGTGTGCCTAATAGTTTTTCCTTCAGAACAGACGAATATGCAGCATGACTGAGTTACGAAAATGGTACAATAGCAGTATAAATGCTATTTCAGTGTCATGCACAATTGGCTGATTTTTACCAGACTTTAGTATTTTATTATTTTTATTCTGGTTTTGCTTTTTGTACTCAAGTAGGTGTGCTATCTGTTGCACTGGAGTATTTCAGGAAGCTAAACTGCTTATATAGCCTCAGGTTGCTTTATATTTTACATGACTGCTGAATTTCTGAATTGAATGGAACAATTTATCAAATGTTTATTTGAGTGATACACAATGGAATAAAGAAAAAGGTAGGCTTCTTCAAATCTCTCTTGACTTAGTCATTTTTGTGTTGTTCCCCAAAATAATAATCACCAGGTTTTCTTCTGAGGTGGGGGAGAGGTTGGGGGGAGTTTTCAAGCCACTAAGAATGGTTTAATTGTAGAATCAACTTTCAGCTGTATTGGTCCTAGAGTTGGTTGCTTAGATTCTATTTCTTTTTCATCTTACAAGGTTTTTATGTAATTTTCTTATGAAGTAGTTCTTAATTTTAATGATTGTGATGAAGTCGTTGGACCAAATTATTGGGCCTATCAAGAGTATTAAAAAGTTAGAAAACGATTTTCTACACTAAACCCTTGCCATAGAAAGTTTGTAGATGAAGTTCCAAAAGCCAGGTTTTTCTGTTATTTTACATGTTCCCCATACATTTTGACTATAATTGAGCAGGAAGTAATTCACTTGCATGTTTTATGCTTAGATTTAAAAAAAAAAATACACTTTTTTTTGGCACTCATTTATGGGAAAGAAAAGAAAAAGTAAACAGTTAAAAATTGTAAACAAGATGAAGGGGAAATACAACAATCTAGCATAATTTAACAATTAAGAAAATATTCTAAAGCCATAATAATGCCTTATATTTGCTGGTGTAGTTTAGAAAACTCTGGCTTGCACTATTACCAATTAAATCTTAACCTCACAACAACCCTGTGAATTAAGTAGGCTAGATTCATTACTTTCATTTTAAAG